GGGCGGGCACCGTGACGCGCGCCCATTGACGTCTCCGGAATCCCGGCGGCGGCTGCCGACGCAGACTCATCAATGGGGCTAAAAATAGCGGCGCCCGGAATAGCCGCGAGCGCCCCGCCCCGCGGGCCCCCCCAGCGCGCTCGCCCAACGCCCTGTTACATAACGCGCCGGCTCGCTCGGGGCGGGTGGGGTTGGGGGACTGTTTTCAGGTGAGGTTCTGTGGCCGCGCAGACACCGCCCTAGGCGATGGGGCTGGGTTATAAATAACCTTTCCCCGGGGCTTCCCCAGGAAGAGGTGGAAAAAGGAAGGCCCAGAGAGGCTCCGCGGCCACCCAAAGACACACAGCAATCAGTGAGAGGACGGGACGCTGGCCCTTGGAGCCCCGCCTCCAGCAAAGCTTGGTCGGCCTGCACCCCACGCGGGGAGCCCCGCAAGCAGGGTGCCCACCACCCACAGGAGAGGCAGCTTAGTGGAGAAGGGGTTTTGGGGGCCGGTGAGATGTCCCCAAAAGGAAGTCTTCCTGACAGGGAACTGCTGCTGTAGGGGTAAGGCCCACGGTACACTCTGCTGGCCGCTCCACTACTGTGTGCCCGAGGGCAAGTGGCATCACCTCTCTGCACCTTCCCTTCCTTACCTGTGAAAGGAGGATGATAACCTAACCTTTTTTTTTTTTTAAGATTTATTTATTTGTGCATACAGAACTGGGGTACAGGCCGGAGGTGCAGGGGCTGTAAGAGGATTCACCAGAGACAGAATGGGGAGCAGAACAGGCAGGTCGACAAAGTGCACTGCTGAGGGGAGCAGCGGGGAGACAGGAGAGGTCTGCCGCGCCATGTGGGTCACCTCTGGGACCGGGAATCGAACCCTCACCAAAGTGGCTGCAGCCAGCTTGCAGTGCCGAGCCGCCACGGAGGTGCTGTACACAGCAGGCACTTGGCTGTCCCCTCTTCCTTGCAGGCCTAGCAGAGTCTGAGCGGCCCAGTCCATGACACACACCCCTCCCTGGGTCGCAGCCATGGCCGCTCAGAGGGGGACGAAGCCCATGGTGATGGGTTAAGTGTGCCGTGGTGGGGGGAGAACTACAGGGTCAAGCACTGTACAGAAATGAACAACACTGTAAGGCAATATAGAATTTAATACGACCAACTGAACAAGCAGAGGCACCACAGGGACCAGGGAGGGCGGTCAGCTGCCTCCCTCCTGCCCAGGTTGGTCTCCCAGAAGAGACCTTCCTGCTGAGAGGGGTGGGAGAGCTCAGGTTTCCAGCAACACTCTGGACAAGGAAGGACCATCCTGTCCTCAGCACATCCTCTTGGGGTGGCAGCTTCAGAGAGGCCAGGCCAGGAGGGGAGCGTGGGGCTGGGTCGGCTGGGTGGGGTTGGGGTCGCAGTGTCTGTTCCTCCAGGCAGCAGGGAGGATCCAGTCTGCTGCACCAGCGGTCCACCCTGCTCATTTCGGGAGCCATCTTAAATTATGAGCCACTCTGCAATCCCCAGGCCAGGCCCCACGCAGGGAAGAATCTTCTGCATTCAAAGTCCTCCAAATGAGGCCCCAAACCCCCACTCAGCCCTCATTCCAGGGGCCACAT